ACTGGAGTTAAGGACAGTTAGTAGCCACCATGTGGGTGCTGGGAATCGAACCCAGGTTCTCTGCAAGAGCAGTCAGTGCTCTTAAACACTAAGTCATCTCTCCAGACTCTCTTTCTGTGTTCCTTAAAAACAATAATCAAAGCCGGCTGTGGTGGTGCACACCTTTAATCCCAGCACTTGGGAGGCAGAGGCAGATGAATCAAGCCCAATTTGATCTACACAATGAGTTACAGGCCAGCTGAGGCTACAGGGAGACCCTGTCTCAAAAAACAAGAAAAGAAAAAAAACAACCCAATAATCAAACAAGGGTAGCAAATGACTACAGTTTCAATAACGCAAGGAATGGGAGTGAGATCAAAAAGCACCAAATAAAATATTACCAGCAGATACATCACAACATGGTCTGTGGGCAAACCAGTGCTACAGCCTAAATTGGGATGCATTCCTTGTTATGTTTTTTACTTTAATAACCAATGTTTTTGGTAAAGTCCAAGAGGAACTGGACTCTGACAAATTGTGAATAGCAAGCTTTTTTTGTAAAGAACATTTTAACATAGTATGCATAGATAATCCCTGCATACAAGGAACTAAAAGTCTTTTCTATTTCTCCTAATCATCTCATTCAAATCCTGTCATTATGAACTTCCTGCATACCTGGCTTTAAAATATTTATGATTATAAATTTAAATCCAAATCCTGGATAGGTCTACATTCATCACAGCAGAATCTTGAAATGCTGAATTACTGTCTGATTTCCTTCAGTCATTTACTGCAACTGCCAGAAATGGGCACCTGAAGGCAGCAGAGAATTGAGAAGCAGCCAGGAGCCCCGTCACCATTCCCAGTGTCATGCACATTCTGTACGTCATTTTTTGAAATTGGCATCTTGCATGCAGCTATTCTGCTGCAATGCAGTTGCTAAACCTAAAGGCTTGTTGGGAGAAGGGGGCGTCAAGTCTAGTATCTTCTTTCCACCTTTTAAGAACCAGAACTGGGAGCTGGAGACATGAATCACCAGTGAAGACCCAAGTTCAGTTCCCAGCACCTATAAGGGCAGCTCATGACCTTCTTTAACTCTAGCTACATCCAGGGGACCTGAAGCCCTGTTCTGACCATTTATATACATGCAGGTAAACACTCATACACATAAAATAAAAATAAATCTTACAGAACCAAAACTGGCTAGTTTTTAGCCTAGGAGGGGAGATAGGTGGGGTTTAAAGTTAAACCTCGAAGGCCAAGAGATTTCACCATAGCTGTCCTTTTCCTGGAAAGCTTTACATTTTCTGGCTATATTGAAAATTCTGCAGTAACCGGGAATGCAGGCTCAAGGGCAGAGTGCTGGCCCAGCATGCACAGGGGCCTGGGTTTGATCTTCAACATCAAAAACTTAAAAAGTTATTCCATAAGAAAAGTGTTCTAAAAAGGCAGATCAAGTCAAACAACAGGTGCTCCAAGTAGCCATCTGTGACAATGAGTTCATGTTTATAGAAAACAAATCTGCAAACAACAAAAATGTTCAAAGGATTTTATGAAAATCTTGCTAAAAAGCAATATAATAGCAAATTCATCAAGTGGAATTAATGTATGGGATTCTATTTTAGTTTGCTATAAAGACATAATTGCTAGTGACAACTGTAAGATACTTGTAAAATAAAAATAGATGGTTTATATTCCCAAAACTGAAATTTTACACTAGAATCCAGGTTGTTTCTGTTAGTAACAAGATCACGCCATGGAAAAGCCACTGGTAACCTACTATCGGCCACGAGCTACCAATGCTCCTTTTATTCCTGCTACAAAATGCTCATCATCATCATCATTCAGATCTTTCTCAGTAAATGGCACTTTCTAAAACCAGAAAGTCTGGTAATTTATTGTATAAAACTATAATGAAATCATAAACTGATATTTCCCAAAGTATCATTTTCATTAATGACCTACTTAAGAAAAAAGCATCTACTTCAGTACACCGTCCATTTTTTTAGCATTTAATACATTGCTAATCAATTCTAAAAGCTGTATTTAAAAATATCAGTCCATTTTTAATAGCTAAGTAGAAAGTTTTAATCTGCAGGATTTCTTAAAAACCCATCTACTTGACATAACCTCCTAATTCCAGAAATGTAAACTAGGATTCAATCTTCATTTTTCTTTCAACATATTCTACCTCTCATCCTACAACTATGAATAAAAAAAAAATTTAACATATTGAGACAAGATCTCACTTAAATCAGTGTCTATAAGTCTAATTTTTTTTTTTTCTGAGACAGGGTCTCCCCAGCTGGCCTGGAAATCATTATGTAGACTAGGGTGGCCTTGAACTCACAGAGATCCACCTGCCTCTGCCTCCTGAGTGCACGCCCACCTACAAGTCTAATCTTTAAAATATCCATAGCTGGGGCTGGAGAGATGGCTCAGCAGTTAAGAACACTGGTTGTTCTTGCAGAAGACCTGAGTTCGAATCCCAGCACCCACATGGCATCTAACAACTGTCCTTAACTCCAGTTCCAGGGGATCCAACAGCCTCTTCTGATCTCTGCAGGCATTGCATGACACAGGTGCGCTTACCTACACGCAGGCAATACACACATACACATAAAATAAAAATATTTAAAATATCCATAGCTGCAACCTCTCCAACTTGTCATTTCTCAAAAAAGATCAATAAAACATACAGTTAACATCTAACCTTAGCACAGATCATAACTTGGGACAAACTACCACAAATAACTATGACAAATAACTACCACATTCTCACGGATCAACCCATCACCCTGTACAGTTCTAAGGATAGTAAGCAGAATTTCCAGTAACTCTCAAATGCTGAATTAAGACTTTTTTAATAATCCTATAAAACTAATATAAAAGCTGACAGTGCCATCTCTGACAACTAGAACCCAACACAGTACCTGGACATGTATTCATGGAACAAATAAACAACCGAGTAGACCACTCCCACTGCTACTGCTCCTTGTTATGCTGTAGTAAGCACTACAAATTCTATTTAACAACATGGAAAATACAATCTTTTATTTCTACAAATAAACACTGAAAAGAATTATTTAAGAATTTCCACTTTAGGGCTGGAGAGTTAGCCCAGTCATTAAGAGGATCCTGGCTCAATTCCCAGCACCCACAGGGCAACTAACAACCATCTATAACTCCAGTTCTAGGGGATCCGACGCCCTCTTCTGACCTCCATGGGCATTGTGTGACACGGGTGCATTCAAATACATGTAGACAATAACACTCATACACATAAAATAAAAATAATAATATATTT